GTATACAGTTTATTCGTACACTGGCAATTTATCTATTAATCAACGATTACAGATAATTCGACTAATAAAAACGAATGATAAAATTTAGTTAGTTAATAAAGGTAATCAGGGAAAAATTAAATTTTAAAATAATAATAAAGATAGAGTGTCATTCGGATGAGTAAAGGCATTTAAAAGTTAATTAAAGTTAAAAAAGTTCTTGATTCAGAAGAATTCAATTTATGAAGAATAGAAATATCTTTTTAGGACCTGTATAGTGCTAATTAAATGTTAGGGTACAGTAAAATAAAATTTCTCTCAAGGAAATTGATAACTTTATTAACAGAGTTAGATAAGAGGTAGAAATTTTATAATTGATAAATAAATTGGCATTTATAAAAAAAGAGCTTTCAAATTAATTTAAGTTTCGTTATAAATAATTATGAAGTAATTGAACCATTTTAAATTTGTTATTATTAAAATTATATAGTGAAACGTGAACTTAAAATATGTGTGAATAATTTAAAGTGAAATGTTTATCTTAGAATAAAAGTTATTCTATATCAATATACTACATGATATTCAATTATATATTTCCCTCCATCGTTTAATGACAGTGTGATACAATTTAATACATAAACGTACAGTAACTGACGATTAGTTTATGTTAGACTTATTTTCAAAAATGATATTAATACCCTATATTAATAAATCAAAGAAGATAATTAATCTGTTTTGAAGAACGGAATGATAAACGCAACCTTTATTTTTGTAAGTAAACATATTTATATATACCATTTTTATTCGTTGCTGATAAAATATTTAATATCCTAAAGTTAATAATACAGTTTTAGATTTAAATATTTTTCAAAGAATTAGATTTATTTCTTATAAGATTTAGATATTCGGATATTTTTAAATGAGAAATACAATTTCTGCACTGAGTTTTTATTATTTCTTTTAAATTAATAACAAAATCCGTTGCAGTCTATGAATTATCAAATTATTAAGTACATATATTAAATTGAAAAGCGAGATGATGTGAGTTATAAAGTAAAAATATTAAAATAATTAAAATAAAACCATAACGAAATAAAAAATAAGCGATATAAAGTACTTAGTTCGAAATGAAACTTCCACTTTGAGAAAATATATTTTTTTCGCAAAAATATATTTTATATGTCGTCACTTTAGAAAGTTAATTTTAAAATCATACGACGTACACGAACACTTAGCTAAATTTAATTAAAAAAGCGCTTTGAAGTTTGAAATAAATTAAAAGTTGAAACATTTTTAGAATCAAAAGAAATTATTTAAGCCCCTGAAAAATTAAAGATCTGATCTACAGTAAAGTAATTTTAATAAAATATCAGAATCGCTTTGACTTATTTATTACTTAATTAAACTGTACTAAAGTAATTTACTCTATCCTTCTACCACTTTATTTCTTATTTTTTAATATATAATTATATATTATACAACAAACTGTGTAATATATATGTATGGTTATATATTCTACTATTTTACTTACAATATCATATAAAATATACTACGTAGTCATTAATACTCTATACATACATATATATAAATCCACTTTAAACATTATAAAAGTAATCCTAACATGTTATCTCAATACTAGAATTTGCAACCTATAATATGTAGTACAAATGAGAATAATTGAAATGATATGGTAAAGGTAAATAAATACATATACATAATCACATTTCTATATGAATAAAAATGAACATTTATCATATCAAAGTATTTTCCAGTAAAAATAAAATATATAGAGCCTTGTTTAGTAGTTCTAATTTTAATCATTACTAATCTATATAAATATTTTTTTCAAAATACCACGTACTCCTAATTACTCGTACTTTATTTTTTCAATGCTACCATAAATTACCAAAATTATCAATCAAATATCAACTAGAATTTTAACAAAAGCAGTTGCACGTTTTCAGTAATTACAAAAATAAAAATCGGAAACTAATCATTTTGACTCATTTTATAGTTCTAGTGTCAATCACCACTACTTTTAATCTATTTGTCCAAATAACTACTCCTTCCAAATTATCAGATACTACAAATTACTCATACTTTATCTAAAATCAACATTAATCCATCAAATAGGGTTACACTTCTTCACCCATTTATCTTCATTTCTATTAATTTTTCTAATTTTATTCTCAATCACTACCTTCAATCTACACCGTACGAAATACCACGTACTCCTAATTACTCGTACAGTATTTTCCCAATAGTACTACAAGTGTCCAAAATTATCCATCGAAAAACAGGAATTTTATCACAAGCAGTTACACATTTTCAATAATTAAAAAAATAAAACTCCGAAACTGATCATTTTGATTTATTTGATAGTTCTACTATGAGTCACTGGTGCTTTTAATCTATTTCTCTAAATAACTACTCTTTCCAAAATATCAGGTACTGCAAAACGCTTTATTTTTGCAATAGTACCATAAATGCCCAAAATTATCGTGCAAAAGTCAGTATATTAACCATGAATACCACAAAAGTTGCAAAATGATCAACCACCATAATCCTCGCCCGTTCCAAAACTGAAACATCCGTTATAATACATCTAATTTCCGCGTGTTTACAAAACAAATCCGGCGAAAAGGACGGCTTCTGTCGAGGCTGGTGTCGACCTGGCCGAAAGGCACTACTTTGACTCATTGTTGGCCAGAAAGCCGCTCCGTGACAGCCGGGTCATCGAGTTATCGCGAGAAAACGTACTCCCGCAAATACGTCATCCGGCGCATCAGTAAGAATTGATTGTTGGCTATCGCAATATTTATTTAGGCCATATCGAAAACAAACACCGGCATTCATCATTGGGTGAACCGTGTTATAGCCGGAGGAAAAACGTGGTATGGGTCAGTGCATGCTCGATCGCAGAAACGAAGGGGATTTCATGGTTACTCGCGATCGTTCGCTCGAAGACGATGGAATTCCATCTACGCGTGTATAAACTCTAGTTTCGTTGGTACAACTTTCCTTCAGAAATTTCATATCTTCCTCGCGCCAGATTTATGTTGCACGTGTATCTTTCTGCTGGCAATTCCGATATGTTCGAACCATTGATTCGCGAGTGCGAGTGAAGTCGATAACGCGAACTGATCGCAAATTGGAGGAATCACTAGATAAAGGTGGAAAATTAGCGTGTTTCGAACGCAGTGATCCTTTCTGATGCTTCATGTAAATATGTGATATTGTGGGTTTTTCTTTCTTCCACAACCGTGTACTTGTTTGCCAAGGAAAATGAACTCGAAGATCAAGGTAAAGACACGATGCATGTGATTAAACAAACGGTGATACGTACCTATATACATGTATAAGACTTTAAGACAATTAGTCTCGATTTTACATGTAGAAAATATCAGGATAAAGTTCGTTAAATTGCGAGATAAACATGCGATAATAAAATTCAAGTTGGAAAGATATGTTGTTTTCTTGACAAGGCAACAAAGTGTACATTTTATAATTGAATTCTTTTTTTATATTTTTATTAGATTTATTGCTTCATTAATTCTTGCTTTTTTGGATATGAAATTAAAAAAATACATTTTGAAAAGAATTTGCTTAATTAATGGAGAAGCAATATGAAGTCATGATAATAGAATATATAAAGTATAAGTAAAAATATAAATTTCTTCATAAAACAAATGTGATTTCTGCAGAGATACTATTTTTTAATGCAAACTGACTAAAATATACTTTACTGATACTGATACATTTATTATGCATTTTATAAAATTATATTAATATTATCTATAGTATTCACATTCTTAAATTATTCTGATGTTTGAAATATTTAATAACCATGCTCCTATAAATACTTTAATCTTCATTTACAATAGTGTGTGTTTGATATCCTCAAACTTCATAACAAACTGTATGTACAACTTTGAACACGATACGTAATATAGAATAGTAATTGAAATACAGGATGATCCAAGCAAAGCGTTATTATATTATTTCTGTCTGATTTAATTTTAAATAAAACTGCAGTAATTTGAAAAAAAAGTAGCTTGTAACGTTTTATTTGAATTAGTGTGTCAATTAGAATATTATAGAGTAAAACCGTTATCTGAACACCTACTATCCAAACTTTCTACTATTCGAATGTTATACTATCCAAACATCTTACTATCTAAACTGTATATTTCCTTTATTACGACTTACTTGTAATGGCAACATAGAGGAAACCTATAATACTAAACGTTGAAACAACAAGAGCTTCTATAAGCGAGATAGTCATAGAAATAGCAAATAGCAAAAATTTACATCAATAACCATTCGGAGACGTTGAGATATTTTAAAATCTAAATAAAATACATGCAATTCGACATAATAGTTTACTGCAATCTAATAGCGAAAAAAACCATAAATTAGTTGAAATAATATTACATTTATATTACGCTTCATCATTCACTATCGGTAATAATAAGACTTCTTTTCGAAATAATAGAACAAACTCTATAAGAAAAGATGAATCCTCCATATTAATTCAAATACCGCGGGCTACATCATATTTCTAGACTAACTGAACTAGCGAATTCTGCGATGTCAAACAAATCAACAGACTCCAATTACGCTCGACTCGCAACACCATCTACATTCATCTCGAATAATTTACTCAGTGCCCATACCCGTATCGCTTTGTCCCCGGACCCATCCAATAAATTCATACAAAAAACCAACTAACCATAACGCGTACACAAATCTCATTTCTCTGTTTCTATCGTTCTCGCGACTTTGAATCTAATCACCGCCCTTCCATAAATCAATCCAGCGAACGAGAGAGAGATCCCAACGTATACACGCGACGTTAATCGGCGCGGTCACTGTAAACGCTGTCGAACGCGTGGCGACGACACGAAACGAGAAACGTCGGATTATTAAATTAGCGTCCCCATGGCGACCAGTGGTCAAGGAAATCGGGTGTGTTTCGTGGAGACAGTCCAACGGCAGTGGCGCTTCGTACGGCTGTCAAACCGAAGTGTTAGATTACGGGAATGAAGTCGTAATCAAGGCTCGCAACTGCAATGATTCTAACTCGCGTATTTCTCGCAGTGCTGAAATAAGTTCGATGCCACTAGGAACGTGTTTCGATTCGACGTGATCCATGCGAACCTGCGTCGTCGGTCGGTTAATTTATCGGTGGTTTAACGCTCTCGAGTGTACGTTGAATCTACGAGTCGCTGATACAGAAGCCGGGCAAGTGTACGTATAATGGCTTATTCGGCGTTGGATTCTCTATCTCTCTCTATTCTGGATTCTCCTTGTTCTCAGTGTTAGTCGTGAAATACGAGAGTTCGTTGTTCCACGCCGTAGCTTTATTATTTTTATCTGACTGACCAAGCGTACAGTTTATCGGTGAAATAACGTTTGAAATGGTAAATAGAAAAGATGACGGTAGAGGGAGGGAGCTGTTTCTTTTGCACTGTCGTGTATTCGGTAAGATTGTGTGACGAAGCACGGTGAAACGACGAATGGAAATTGACCGGAGGAATCTGTCTCGTGATTGCGTCGTGAAAGTTGGATAAAGTGAATAGAAATTATTAGCAGAAATTCGCGTTGTCCGATCAGTACTTGCCGCCAAACGGATAATACTGTATAATAATGTTCAAGTTTGATAATAACGATGACGTAAAAACGTTCCTTACTTTACGAGAGATGTATTTGAAAAGAAGATGGGAGAATCGAGGAAAGTTATTGTTTCATGAAAAGTAAATATCGTAATCGTGTAATAATGTTATCGTGTATGGTGGCTAAGAGTACTATTGTTCTCGATTAATAAATGGGGCAGGGAATACGAAATAAAAATATTCGAAGAATTTATCGACATAAATTATTGATGTCAACTCGGTCGGTATTAAGCTGAAAATAATACGTAACATATTTAAAGGAAATTGTGTGAATAAAATTACCAGTTTTTATATCTCAATCGTATCAGAAATTAACGTATTGACATTTTAAGATCATATAGCTTTATGATCTTCAACCGCAAATTTAATTAATAATCAAATTAAACGCAAATTAAATAATCGGCAGAATATTTATTAAAGCCAATGTTAATATTTAATATAACGTGTGAATTATTAGTATTAATTGTTACTCTAAATTTAAATAACTCGAAGATGTAATTCGATAATACAAAATAATTAAAAAATTTATTAAATATCGCTTTATATTATATTATTGCACAATACTACGTAGATTGGCAACAAATTCAAACTAATCGTACATTTTGAACTTAGAAATTGTGCTTGATATTTATTTTAATTTGTATTAATAATTTTCTATATTTCAGATTTAATGTTATACATCATCGATTAAAAGTATCGAAAAACCAGTGAAGAGGAATTTCATCGAGTAACCCGTCCACCATGTTTTGCCTAAAAGGAAAAAACAATGACGATGCAAAGTTTCGGGAAATGTTGAGGCAGGATGATTTTGGATGGTGGTTAAGCGACGAAGATGATTTAAAATCGCCCAGATCCACTCGAAGTAGAGGTCGTCAATCTGTAGGATCGTCTGAATCAATGTTTTCTTGCATAGATTCGGATGATAGCGAAAGCTACTTTCTTGCTCAAGAATTAAAACAGGAATATAACGATAACTGTGAAAAAATAGAGCTTACGTCGTTAATTCACGGGGATTTGGACGTGAATCTTATTGAACAAGATGCGATTTGTAAAGAAACGGTAGGTTGATGTCATTCGTTTTCTTCTCTTATCCTACTTTTCACTTCCCATAATGGAGAAATTACAAATTTCTTTTATTATAATATATTATAATAAAATTTTGCAACACTGTAATCATTACTGTATTAACACATGCACCACCGACCTATAAGATTCAATAAATAGTAACAATTACATATTACTATTTATTTCAATAAAAGTGAATGTTAATTTTTGCAAAAACGGCTGCATATTAACTGCAAAAATAAAAGCTCTTAACGATTAATAGTCCTAGTGTAAATCTTACATTTGCAAAATTTTACTACACTGAAAATCATTTGTAAACAGCAGTAAAGGTATTAATAGGTCATTTCGACCTCAATCGATCTCTCTATCGTCAATCCTAAAAATCACAAACTTCCTTTGAAACGTACGTAACCGATGACAATCTCCCTCGCAGAAAGTAATAAAATTTAATAGATCGATGAAATTGTAGGACGTCACACGATTTGTAGCGGAAGACGCAACACCGTGCTCGAACGATCCAAAGTCGAAGTCACAGGGGCCACGCGGCATGTGCTACACACCAGAAAGGCTGGTCAGATCTCAGGAGTACCGGATACTGACGCCGTCACCTCGCTACTTGTCCATCTCTCAAGCAAGAATCGTGCCAGAAAACGAAAATCCACAAAAGGCATTTCATTGCCGGCGGCGATTGAACTGTCTTATCGACTCGAAGCAAACTGGTATGTATTTCGCCGTTTAACGGTAGAGGGAGAGAAGAGAAAGAGAGAGTGTACCTCGTGCCGGCTCGACATTCATTCGCAGAGCGTGCAACAGCGGATCGCAAACTTGTTCCGATGCGAACCCACCGTCAGCTAACTTGAATATAACCCGGCCATTGTGTCTGACCTAGTAAAGTTTCGCGGTTTACCAATATGTGAAATCGGCTCCCTTCATGCTCGTTAGACGTACTTTCGTTTCAACGCCTGTACTCTTAAACTTGTACCACGATGCCCTCGATCGTATACCATGTACATATGTACGTAGTATGCTCGTGCGTATTTTCCATGGGACTTTGGAATTTGCTGAAGAGCTTTTAATTATTGCTGACGACTGACACGAAATGACTTTCGCTGAGATTGAGGTCGAGCATTGATACTTGGACGATGTTCTCCGACTTGTACATTTTTCGTATTCTTTATAGATATTTTAATGTTGTATGTCTACTTTTATGAATGTCAGTTTTGAGATTTTGCTAATAATTTATTTGAGCGTTCATCTATGTTACATTGAATATTTCACTAAGATTAATAAAAAGCTGAAATAATTTATCTATTTTGCTTGATGTAGTAGCGCGATAGTATAATATTACAATACATTTTTTAATGAAACAGATACACTTGTAAAAACATTGATTACGTAAAGCATATGGTGATTATTCTCAGAAGACTTTGTCTTGTTGCTTCATTCTGATAGGAAACAATATTGAAATGTATAGAATAATTTTGTGTAATAAAATTGTACGATGTAACTTCCATTCGTGCATCTCCATAGTATCCACGTTTCACTCTACCATTGGAGAATGTAACTATACTTTTAATGCACCTTACACCAAAATTCCATTTGGAAATAGGACAGTTCGGCTAAGTAGTACATGCAAATTACAAAAGTTCACTGACACTGCACAAATAATTACGTATTCACACGACGAAACTTGCCATTAAAACGTCGAAAGTTAATAAAAGCAAAATATAAGAACATTGACATAAATATATAAATAAATGTATAACGCAAACTACGATAATTTAGTAATAAGTTTGTTAAATATATAAATTTATATAATTGAACGTATATTATATTATAAAATTCAAATATTTCATTAGATGCGATGCAACTTCAAGCTGTTGTGGGGTCTAAGTCATCGGAAATAGTAATACCGACAATCGGCTTCCATGACTGGAGAAATTATAAACGAGCCTGCAGTGACGACAATGAGACGAAGATCAGTGAAAATGAAACGAAAATGGAAGACGTGTCCGATTGCGATAAATCGGACAGTTTGCAAACACCAGACTCAATTGGCAAGAGTTACGAGAAATTGAACGTCACATGGGAAAACTGTGGAAAGATGGGTACACGCAGCTCCTCATTAGACGACACTTCCGGCATTCAGAGCAACGACTGGAGCTCTGACTCGCACAGCGACCTGCAAAATACTCCTCTCTGTCTTTGTGACGAGTTGGCGACGACGAATTACAAGCTCGATACTTCACAGGTTTTATATTTCAAACCATATAATAAACATAAAAAATCGGTGACATTTGCATAAGTTGTTAAAAATCAATAGTAATTTGTTGAATGGAAGTATCTATTGGAACTGCAATCGCTTTTTATATACTTGTATTGCTTTAGTATTTTCATATTCATGAACTTTGGATTGAAGATAATTCAGTAAATAAAAATAGGAAAGAAGTAGTTGATAAGGATGGACTATAATAAGAATGTTATTTATTAAACCATATGCTAAGAAATATATATAGCGATAAATAATATGTAGAGGAAAAAGCAGACATGGTGTTAGTTTTGAATAATTTCTTATTTTATTAAAGTTCGATTTGTTTTATTTGTTGTTTAATTAAAAATAAGTTAACTAATATCATATATTTTGTTTTGTTTTGTTTTCAAATAATTACTGATTTAAAGTAATATATTTTGTATTAACAATAATGAAGATAAAATTCATAAAAATTTATTTTATTATGCTAATTAATAATTGTGTATTACTTTAAAGTTACGTTTGAATATTTTAATTTTTTCTGCTTTTTTTGCTTTTTAACAGGAACGATGTTCTGCTATCAATGAAGTAGTATCAATTCTTGAAGTACTCGACACGAACCCCGAAAAAGCTACGGTTCTTCTTGAGGAAGATCGTTTTTGTGGCAGTAATTCCACGCACGACCAATTAACCAGGCTGGCTCTGGCGATCGAAACGGATGCAAATGGACCAGGAGGACTTGAAACCCCAGAACATTTAGTTGAACATCTTCAAAATAAAATAAAGAAGCTTCAAGATAGCAGCAAGGACATTTTTAGAGATATATCTAATCTTCGAGAAAGCTTTCAAGTAATGATTTTTGAACTTGAATTTTAATTTAAATTAAAAATTCTATCAAAACTATACCTTCTTATAGAAGAAAAAATTCAAATTATCTTCCCAAAAAGAAATATATTTTAAAAAATACTTAAAATATTTACGTAAAAAATGATGTTTGTAACTTTCTTATTTGGAAGTATTATTAATCAAAGTATTAATCTATGACCCAAAAATTGCAAATATAAATTTTCCTGTTATTTCATTTTCCAGTGTGACGAACAGAAAATGGCAGATATTTCGTCCAATACAAGGAAACTGCGAGAGGACGTACATGAACTGCGATATCTCGACGACCTTCTAAATCTTTTACGGGGAGAATTGGAAAGAATCTCGAAGAGAAATTGGCCATTTGTTATAGGACGTACAAATCATCATTCAGAAGAAATGAATCTCATTGTGTGAACAAAACAAATCGCTTTCACTGTGTCGGCAGAATTTAGTAGATGAAAGTTTGAACGAATAATTTCTCGAGATAATCCGTAAAATCATAAAAGAATATCTTGTTACTTAAAGATACACAGTTCAATATTTTTATAACACAAACCTGTTAAGAGCGTCTCACTGCCATTGTTAACTCACGATGACGTGAAGTTACAAGACAAGTTTGGATAAAATTTATATACATGTTATTTCTGCAAGAGAAATTGTTCTACATGGTTGTTTCCAAAGTCAAATGATCGTAATGAATGTGTGTGACTCGAATTGTATGCGCAAATAGAAATTAGGTTTCTTAGAATCCTGTGCCCTAAAATTTGTGAGTAATATGTTGCTAAGTCGATTTTTTCCTTCTGAAAAATTTATTTAGGAAATGTGTAATATATTTTTATATCGATACAATCAATATTTTTTCGTGTCATTTCGTGATTTAATAAGTTGTACAAAATCCTCGTATTTGTTACTATTGAATGAACTGTTGCCAGTATTAACATTAATAATTAATTACGCGATATACCGCAGGCAGGTGTCGTTTATTTAAAATTATATATGTATTTAATATATCGAAATTATATATCTATATATTTAGAACAGATATTATGGATCCAAGTTTTAGGTTTTAATGCAATCTTATTATTTCTCTAATGTTAGATGCCGGTAAATAAATTTGTTATATGAAATATTCAAGTTTAAGTAAAATCCATAAATATTTACTATAGAATTTACATAGAATTCCATAAAAATTATAAATAATTTCCTAAATATTTATATATCAAATACGTAAATTTCGAATACGTTGTCGTTTGTAAAATTTCTGAATTACACCTGCTCGTAACAGATTTCAAAGATAGAGTAAAATTTATGAAATGTTATACTACCTTTTAGCACATTTAATATCGATTTTCGATTTTAAATGAAATGTTATTTCCTTATAAATAAGTGATTGTTGAACGCAGCCATTTATATTTCAAATTTTAATATTTATACATAAAATTTATAATTAATATTTTATAAATAAAATAAAAAGTTGTACCTACGTATCCGAAAAATTTTGTAAATGTATCTCAAATACATTTCAAGAATGATATGACAAATAATTTTTTAATTTCATTGCATTTATCTGCCCATGTAATACATTTTTCATATTCTGGTTTGCTTTTCCATAAAAAAAAATTATTTACAATTTTTAATTTATTCAATACTTATCTCCAGACTTTTTAATGACTACTGTATTCGTGTACAACAATAAAATCAAACTGAACTTCAGGCACTTGGCTGATTGGAATCAAAAAACAGTTTCAAACACTATTCTGTTACTCTTGATTTTCATTTTATTCAAATAATTCAAATAATTTCTACTAATTTAATTTATATAATAAATTATTATATAATGGAATTATATAATAGAATGACCCATATATTATTCATTATATGATATTGACTATCTAATAAAAAAAATTAGGTGCTGATGTTCCAGTGATAATAATTAGCTCACGAGTACGATGTTCGTATTGCACAATCTTCTTACGACATTTCAAAACAAAAAAAGTTAAAGTACAAATTAGACATGTTCTATGAAAACCAACTGTCTTTTCAGAGTAGACAGATGTAATTATTAAAATGATTAAAATCTAACATATTTTAATTAATCGTAAAATTTATTTATTAAATAACACTACATACTGAACCTTTAAAAACACAAGCACATAATTCTGTAATTCTCGTATCGTTTAACTTATTAATCTTCTATACAATACAGATAATAATTTACAGGAGTTCAAATGAAGAAACCTTCTTACAAAACATGATTCGATATAAAAAATATTTCCACAGAATTTGTAAGAGAGAAACATGAAATTTCCAAATGTTCCTTAGTCCTTTACATTTCTCCCGTTACATACGTACTTGACATATACGCTTCTTAAAACATTCTTCGTTACTAAAATCTCACAGAATTTGACATGTTCATTTTTACAATATTGCGACTTCTAATTCAAATGATTATTTAAGGCGATATAACACTATGCGTTAAACAAAGTTAGGTGACATCGGTACGCTGTGACTGCTTTGGGTGTTGCCTTGAAGAATCATGGTACGCGATACCAACTCGTAGCATTTCACCATGCCGAAACACGTCGTGCGGAGAAGACAGAGAAGGTAAAGATGGTAGCGATGGTAATAAGCAATTTAGCATACTAGCACTACCATCTGACGAGTAAATTCCATTATTGGCAGAAGCAATAGAAGCTGTACTTGAGCTTGATGCAGAGACTAAGTTCCCGCTTTGATCACCGGTTCCCAGTACACCTGATCCCATCAAACTTCCTGTTTACAAAGGTATAAAAATATCTATTACGTATATATATATATTCCTTAATAACTTTAGAATGATGTATTTCATAACTGGTAATCAACTAAATAATGAAACATGGATTTCATGTTATAATATTTAATATATGTATAATATAATATTATTCAATATCTTTTGTTAAATTAATCTGATGAAGCATTAATAAATGTAAAATACGTGAATTTGTAAAATAATGATATATTGGAATATTTTATAATAACATTAAGATTGAAATTAAGAAAGATCAGAGAAAAAGCAATTTTATATAAATCTTTTTTTTTATAATTAATTAAGAGAATAGAGAATTTAGGACTTTTAATATATGATGTTATAAATATCATAATTTCTAGTAGTTATGATTGTTTTGATCAAGATAATATGATGTATTGATATGTAGATAATAATATAAAAGAATAATACAAAAGAAATGAAACAAAATGATTAACAACATTTTTAACATAAATACTTGTATTTTGTTTCTTGTTCAATTACATTTATAATACAGTAACTAAAAAACAACTTACAATCTCTCAACATAGAATGATAAATAAATTAAAATGTACAAAAGTTACATTTTAATTATTATCTTTACCCTATGATACATACAAGTAAATTAATCGTAAGAAAACATTCTACAATTACAGGAAACTTGATACCATAGGAAGATCGATACAATATTACTTTCTGTCTTCCTCAAAATTATTTATTTCCAGTCAGTCTATTACTGTTACGTGTATTATAGGATTTTAGACGACGCTTTTACTTAATTATATATATTCCACATGTTGATGAAAAAATACAATCTGTTAACAATTTTATACACAACGCACAATTTTGTACATGCGCTTAATGACACAACAAAGTAATAAATAACATATAATCGTATTAACATTAACAAATTTTGAAAATACTATTACAAAAATATATCAAGTTTAACACAATTTGTATAAAATGCAAATGAGTAAAAAATATAAAGAAGGAACTGAAAAATACAAATTATACGAGACAAATATATATACCATATTAACATTTATCATGTCATAATTAATCAAACAACATTTGTAGAAAGAATAAAACATTTAAAGTATCACAAATTAAAAACATTTTCTATTATAATTATTTTTAATACTATAAACTTTAATATATGTGCATATAATTGTTATTACTCTTTATGTCATCAATTTGCGAAAGTAATTGTATCAATCGTTCCTCCTCTTCTCTATCTCAAGCTGCTAAGCATTCACCTGCAAGGCTGACATTCGATGCGCTGGAATTGACTGTCGAAGCAATGGATAAAGACGTTAATGTCGACAAATCAGTGCTCTCTATAGCTCTTGAATAATCCGTCCTCGTCATATGTGGTGAACAAATTGATGCGAGCGTCGATCGAACGAGATCGTTATTTCTATCGGTTCTTCTGTGTCTCATGTGGACACCAGACTTATTATTGCTACCGAGACCAAAATGTAGAAGTTCTAAATGCCTCCTTAAATTTCGCGATTGACGCAAAATTGCTCCACAAAGTGGACATGACGCCGGTTGGTCAGACATACTTCGTGCTTTGGACAATCCATCTCCTAAAATTAATTCCATAAAATCTAAACACATTCAAAGACACGTGAGAAAGGTCACTGTAACGACTGGCAGTAATCGAACAAGCTTACTTCCTGGGTATTAATCTGTATGTTTATTGTTTTGAATTTTTTTATCGCTAAGATGATCGTATTGCGAATTCATAAAAGTGGAGTAATGATTCTAAATAAATAGTTACGTACAATGTACAAAAAGGCGATATACAGAAAATATTTGCAAAAGCAGCTCAAAAAACTACGACGTGTAGAGATTTTTTTATTTAAAAGTATAAAGTCTATGATAAAATAAACCTTTGTTATTCCGTCAAATAATTTTATTACTTATTCTTAGTTAGGTATATTGTTAACATAATTTATAGGTAGTCGATTTTTACACCTACCAATTGATTGGTACTTTAAATAAAATACATGCCAATATTTTAAACAAATAAATACCATAAAAATAAATAAATTATTTAAATAGAAACTCAAACTTCTGCCAATTAGTGTTTCTTTCTTTAAATTTTATTATAATTATGACAAGATACGAGAATATTTTTTATTTACCTAAATAGATACGAAACAATTTTCACTTAAATCTTAATATTGTTATTAATGTTGCGTTTCTTTAAGAATGATCGACAGAAATTCAAATTCTACTTATACATATGTAATTTCAAAATAATAATTCGGTATATTATTTGCAAAAGAAATGAGAAAAATAAGCTGCAAAGATTTGAAACTCATTAAGTTTATATAAAACTGATCATACACAGTTATTGCAAAAGTGAATATTTGAAAGATATCGAAAATTCAAAAGTATTTTGCAATATTTATACCACTGCATTCACTACGCATAATTTTTCATCGACTGCTATTCCCATTAACCCTAAATAGAGATACTGCTCTTACTTACTAATGTGGAAGATTTTTCATACTTTAACTTAATTTTAAACTAGATTGTTTCAAATTAATTTCATTCCAATTGGTAAAGGAAGAAAGCCAAATAATACGAAAAAACAAAACTAATAAAATAAGAGCATGAAATAAACTATACAATTAATATAACAAAAAATTCATCCTTAAACTTTACAAAATAATGTCAGTTCAATTTTTTTCCTTAAACGATGCAAACAAATAATAGTTTGAACATAACTTCGTATAAGTACATTAAAACGATAAGTAAAAAAAGAATGCGCTCGCTTAAATTAAATTTGTAACATACATTAGAGAACGAATTAGCGACAAGAAATAAAGTAGTTCCTAAATCACAATAACAGAATCGAAGGATTCTGTTCACGTCAAATCTTCGCTTTCAATTTCTTTCTGTATATTCATCTAGCGATAGTTGGAGACGGAACGTTGCTTTGAGGAGAAACAACATTCGGTCCCTGCGATGTTGGCGAAGGAAGTGGGCTGGGCTTACAAATTATTTGCTCACAGGTACTACTTCCACTATCAGTTCCATACGTCATAGACTGCTCATTATAACTGGATAACTCGACTTCAGGCTTTACTTCTATCATCATTGCATCAGCCGGGGAACTCTGAACCGGATTACTACTAAATCGATACTTGCAAGACGATAACAAATGTCTACGTAAATTTCTCGCTTGCCGTAACGTAGCACCACATAGTGGACAAACGCCTGGACAGTCAGATGCACCGCGTATTTTAGACAAATTCATATTGCCTGTAAGTCCACAAGATGCTGTTCCAGCAGTTGTACCCTGAGAAACTAGTGGGAGCGGTATACCAGGAGGAAAGCCCATATTTAGAGGACCAGGAAATTGTGGTATATGTAGTGGAGAATATGGCTGCATTGGCATTAAAGTGTGAAGATGCGATTCATTGTCCGATATTTGATCCTGATGCGTTCCTGCTTGAGAATTTTCTGTCGATACCGGCTGCGCTTCTTGAGCACGTGGCGAGTGACAACTCCGATGATTCGAATATTCCAATCGATCGTTTGCTGCTAACAGACACAAACACAATATTACCATGCAGGGCTGAACTGAATTTTATATCTGAAATCTTTGAATTGTTATAATACATGACATGATTGATTAGACACAGTTCAACCCAATTGATGGTTGTGCTTGTGTCCGTTCTAATATATAAAAGCTTGAAATAAGCTTTAACATTTATGGATCATACTCCAAAAATACATTAATAAATGATGAAAATAATATATCGGACACAGAACACAAGTAGTATCGCATATCCATTCTTGTTAAAATAGTTACTAAACTGATCATTAAATATACAGAATAATATAATGATCAACTCAGTTTAATGTGTCATGATAAAAAAAAAATTGTATTCAGAATACATAGTAATAAAATAACATTTCCTATTATTTTGAGTAAACATTAAATGAAAAATAAAAATTCAAATATATATTTCAAATAAATTTAACAAATACAATAATTATAAAATATGCTGTTGTATATAATGCTAAATATTCCTTACCTGTATCATCACCATGTTCTGTATTATCATCATCTTTATGATCATAATTAGCTGACCGACTATTATCACTTCCATCAACAGGCCTATTGTCATTATCAGTTGTACTAGCATTACGTGGCCATTTTCCAGAGGATGAGGATGACTTTCTTCTTTTTTTTCTTCGTTTCAATGGAAAATAGGGACTAATTGCTTCCTTTGATAAAGCTTCATTTGCAGTTGGTATTGCCGATACAGGTACCTCTTCTCCATTCTAAATAAATCAGATTATTTCTTATAAATAAATTATAATAATATTTCTTACAAATAAATTATAAATATAAATTATTAACAACTAAATATTTACCCAATTAAACCATAAATGAAAAAATGTGAACATTTAAATACAATATATTATTATATCTTAATTATAAAACATACTTCAGTCAATATAGTAGGTGGTGTTAATCCATGAATACAAAGGCAATGAGCAGCTTGAAGTAGTGAAGGTAATTGAGAAGGTTCTACACTCACTTCACCCCGGTATACAAATTCCAATAATGATTCTAAATCATCTGCCCCTATACCAGCTAACATAACTACTGGATGTTGGCATGGTGTACTCTGTTTATGGAAAACAAGTTAAAAAAGAAAAAATTAAGACCAATCAAAAATACAGATTATATTACATAAAACATTCAATGTATTAAGAAAAATCAAATTGAAACCTTTAATAAATCCAATAAAAAAGGACTAGCTGCACAAAGAACTATCTTATGTGCAGGAAAGCTGCGTCCACCAGCAGCTAATGTAACATCAACTAGATCCCCATGACCTCTTAACAATTGTACCGCAGAAGCCAGTGATGAACTAAATTCTCCCCAGGACAAACTATACAACTGACCACTGCTTCCCATTCTGAACAACAAATTGCACATGACTTAAAGTTTATACAAGATATTATAAAAGAATATTATAATATAGTAATAGCAAAATCATTATCTCCATATTGTTATAATGAAATTGAACAATCCACAGTGTATCACAGAAAAAGTAAGAAAAATCCAACATACATGCATTTACTTGACACTACAACGTGTAGATCCGAAGTTAATAAGATTCGAGAAAATTGACCACTAACGGTAACGATACGTACTCGTCTCCCCCAACCACATTCTCTTAATTAGTGCCCCCACCCCAAAAAATATGATCTCGGCGTCGTCTGAAAGTTAACCTAGCAAAAGCTTATATCACGAAAAAAATAATCGAAATATTGAACAAAAATACGCAATTATAATCTAGGAATAAATGAAATTCTTCATATTTTCATATAAAAGAAAGATATTCAAATAATTTACAACAATATGCATAATAAAGAATAACTCACATTGAGTTAAATTTATCACTGTAAGTTGTACGTTATATTACAACAAACCACGTTTAATTCGTTGCTCGCATATAATAGGAACAAGAATGACGGTGCTGTTGTTATAATTTTACGAAATAATCGTCTTTTTAAGCCAAATAGACATATGATTCGAAAAATGAAATTCAAATACTGTCAGAAATTATCATGTACGTCACATTTTACGAGATTGTGCTGCCCTCATATTACATTAAGAATAATATTTCTGGTAAAACTAAGACTTTTGGCGGAAATTATCAAAAATGGAACAAGATCGTATATTTTACTTAATAATATTAATACGATTATTAAATCTCCAATGTTTTTACTATTTATTACAGAAACATTTTTCGCATTATATACTTGAATTCTTATTCATTTTATAATAAGGAATAAATTCAAGTATAGAAGTTTTCAAATAAATCGAACAAAATATAAACAAAAAATTTGTAGGTCACCTATGATACTTAATTCGGTAAATAAATATAATATTATGTTAAGAATATGTTATTAAATAGTATTTTAGTGTGATTGACATAAATTAGATACGAAAAAGAATTTAATAGTATCAATCATGTTCAGAGAAGGTAATATTGAATTACAGAAAAGTTATGATAGAAAAAAAAATTATTATACGAAGGAAACTGTAGAGATAGAAGTTATAGAAGCGCTACAGAAAAGAGGTATTAAAATTTTTCTAAAATTGGTTATATATGTATAGTTGTAATTGTATTGAGAAACAATTAATTTTACATTATAAGTTATAGTTAAAAGTGTACACAATTCTGGCTAGTTTGATACAAGTAGTTCAAACAAATCTGGATATTGCATTTCAATAAAATTTTTAATTTTTAGAATATACGTTAAATACCGTAAATAGTTATGGGGAAAATTTATTACACATCAGTGCAGCAAATGGTTGCCTTGACATTATAAAAGAAATTTTTCGAAAGCATGATTGCTGTCACATTATTGATAGAAAAAATAAATTTGGTTGGACACCATTAATGTTAGCTATTCGTAATAGGCATATTAAAACGGTGAAATATCTTTTACAAAAAAATGCTAATGTAAATGAATCAACTTATCTAGGTAAACATATTGATATATTTCGTAAAAAAATTAAAATTTTGTTTTGTTTAAGAAATAAGATTACAACATAAAAATATTACTACATTATTAAATTCCCTATTTCTATTGATTTATATAGGTATGTCCGTATTTGGATTAGCAGCTGCAATAAAGAAAGATATGTTTGAAATAGTATATAAAGCATGCCCATCAGCACTATTAAATTCTTTAAATGATGATATTACACCACTTTGTATTGCTGCTATGAAGAATGATAAAAATTTATTTTTTAAATTAGTGGAGTTAGGATTTGATATTTCTAAAAGCAGTAAGACACCATTTTTTTTAAACTTAAACAATAATACATAATATTGTTTGAATAGTTTTTATTCATTTTTATCATACATCTTTAAATAGATGAATACACCTACATTATGATGAAGCAGTCAATAGTACCTGAAATAAGAAATTTGACAAAATATCTTAACATAGAAAATTATTGGAATGATAATTCAGATAACATTCTTATAGGAAATGAATTAAATACAAAAGATTATTTAAATTTCTCCAAATTAATAACTAGAAACAATAATATTGTGCCTCCTTTAAATGTTTGTGATACACAAATTGTTACATTTCATACATCCGCATCTAATACAGATGTCTGTAACAACAATACTATAAATAATACAAATAAGTTTTTAAAACCTTGTACATTAAATTTAACAACAAATCAACAAAAAAGTACTCAGTGTAGTTTAATTTCACCAACTTTAGCTTGTACTTTTAATGAAATATTACCTGCATCCCCAAATATATATTTTGTACAAGATAAACACACTGATGAAATAAAGTTCACTATGACACGTAATATAGATAATAAACAATTAACTCTAGATGAACATAAAATACCAATAACTTGTTCTAAAGATAAAGAGAAACTAAGTAAACAACATTTGCAAAGGTACATTAATATATTATTTTATGTTATATATAGAATAACTATATTGTTTCAATGTAACAATGTTATTTATAAAGATTACAGTCTATTCGACCAGTAGATTTAAATATTCAAAGTGTGGAAGAAGATCATAATACTACTCTTGGATATGTACCTGAATTTAGTCCAATGTCTTCACCAAATGTACCTCCAAATATAAATGATGAAAATGTATTTGGAGAGAACACACCAACACCACCACATTATAAAACACCTCCGAGAGGAATGATTTTAAATTCAGAAGAAGCAAAGATGTATCTTTTATTAAAACATTATGGGTTAAGTCAACATATTACTATATTTCTTGAACAAGAAGTAAATATATTACAATTTTATTTTAAATTAATAAATTGTAATTCACTTTCTTATTTTATGATAAGTTATAGCTTAACAATTTCTTTTTATTTATAATTATTACATTTCATTATTTTTTTATGTTATAATTTATTATTTTTATATGATTTATTTTAGGTTGATATTGATTTATTTATTACTTTAACTAATGAAGACTTAATTGAAATTGGTATAGAAAATGAAGCTGACAGAAACGATATATTAAATGTTATAATAGACTATAAAAAGTCTATTATATAAAAATATATTTATTGTTTTTATTAATTTTATTTAATTACATATTATTATTTTATTTATTATATACTATACCTGTTTTAATATATAATATTTAAAGATATGTCAAATTATGTAAACAATGCTAATAAGAAATTAATAATTTTTATTTTTGATATTTAATATATAAATTATGATATATTATTTTTTTTATAATAATTTAGTCTTAATTAAAGTTCTTTTACTTATGAAAATACTTGTATATTTACATACGAATTTGCTGCAATATCTGTGTATTTTTCATATGAGATAATACTGTGTTAACAAGTTCAGTTTTTTTTGCTTTAGACTTATATGGAATTGAATGTCTTTGTAACCAATCACTTAATTCACTATTTTTCATTTGGTTCAACTGATTTTTTTTTGCCATTGTTTCCACGGTTATATCTTGATCCTATTTAATAAATTAACAAGTAAATATATATAATTTCACTATAAAAGGTACTACTGTTTTTATTAGATCTAGCTTTTGATAATTTCTCTTTTAGTGTCAAATGTTTTTGTTTGTCTCCTTGCATTAGCTATTTTTAAATATGTAAAATTATAAATAACGTATAATGATAAATGACAAATAAAAATAACAAATGAAAAAAAGTACCTCTACTGTATTAACATGAAAACTTGTGTTTTGAATTTTAAAGTATTTTGAAGTTGCTTCTTCCTTTGATCCAATAAATTGTTGTGCAGTTGAATTGTTTATAGTATTTAAATACTGAATTCCTGTAAAATTTATTTTATAATTTATATATTCATAACTAAAACAAATAAATTTCGAAAATTTGTACATGTATATCAATATTTTATACCATTTTGTTCTTCCCTTATATCTCTATTATCTAAATTTGTTCTTATATTTTCTTGAAATGGTACATTATGAATTTGGTGAATTTTAGTTAATGGTGTTTTTAGTAAGGTAGTAGTATTTGTATCTTTTCTTAATCCAGCAGTATATGTACTAGAAAATTCTGATTGTGAGTTAGTATCATCCTTTTCTTTAAGACACATACTTGTTCCTTTGTTTTTTAATGATGCATTAGGTGATAAAATTGTATTTAATGATTTCTATATAAAATAAAATACAATATATTTGTTGTTTTGTTACCTAGAACCATTGAATATTGTTTATAACTTACTATATTAAATGAAGTATACTTGGATATCTGTAACTGTTTACCACAAACTGCTGGTAATTTTACAAGCATATCAGATAAAAAATATGTAATTGTAGGTTTTTTGTCTGTACTTGGGATAATTTCTAATGGACCATTTATTACACACACATTAGGATATACAAAAATCTTAGATTTGGAAATCAAAAATTTAATTTCATAATATAAAATACTATCTTTATTTTTTGGCAAAGAATATCCATACTGAAACATAATACATATATAAATAAAAATAAACTTGACAATAACTTCAATTACAAAAAGCGTATGTAATATAAATATTAATACCATATTTTTCCAGTGTCTACGTAATTGATCATAATCTTTAAAACTACATTGTACTGGAAGTTGTTTAGATACAGACAACAATTTGCCTTTTTTTGTACTATAGAAAATTTTGAAGATGTATTACAAAATATATATATATATATATATGTATTATATTAAATGAAGAGAATTACTGCTACCTTGGTAATACATGTACAAAAGGAAGATTATAATTGGATAAATCAATATATCCTTTAGGATCTGCTAGAAAGTGAGCTATAACAGTTGATGAAAGATAATCTTCAAGTCTTATGTATGGAATTTTCACTTTTTCTGCATTAAGTTGTAAGCATACATTGTTTTCTAAAATTTTGCTGTGTTGTTAATATATAAGATTAAACAAATAAAAAATAAAATTAATCTTTTAATACCCTCCATAAATATTTCTATTTTTAATGCTCTAGTTCCTTCTATAGAATCATAAAAATTTTTTCCTTGAATGAAATAATCACCAACTTTATTCCACAAAGGGGCTATTTTAGTCTGTAGCGTATATATAAGGCAAGATTTATAAAGTTCTACAGTAATCGATCGTAGCCCTCGATACTAATTCGAATAAAAATAAAAATAATAATTTCTAATAAATTTATTATCTTACTATGCTATAAAAATAAATAAAAATTGATTCTTTAAACAAACCACTAGTTTGAAATTTTTTAAAATATTTTCCAATTTTCCGGTTTCGAAAAATCTTTTATGAGCAATAACGAACATAAATCTTTCTGTACCTAATACTGGCGCAGAAATAATATCAGAAATTAAATGAATAAGTAATCTAAAATTATATTGTTATTAGAATATAAAAATGAACAAATTAATTAAAAAATTAATATTAAAGGATACAAAATATAAGATTTACACATGACTTACCGACATTTCATTATTTGCCAATGAAAATTTGATTTTGCCGATGAATCATGAACTTCGATGAAATCAATTTCACAAATTGCACAACACAAGTCATTTATTTGCGGAAATGAAGCATATATAACTGATTGTTTATTCTTTTCGTACATAATATTGCAAGCTTCCATTATATAATTATGTGTTGCACAAATCTTGATTAGCTGAAGTCTTCCACAGTTCTATACGTAGCTTTATCTTTCCAAATTCAAAAATATTAAATGTATTTTCAAATCTGTATCCAACATCTAAAACTAAGAAAGTGCTAGAAATATTCAAGACATAATTGCCATAAAAAGTCTAACTTTATACTTTATTTCTTTAATTATATCCAAATTAAATTTGCAACTGAAACATATAAATTTGTTACATTTAAGATAAATTAAGTTCAAATTTTGGTTAAAAAACAATTTCTTTTTTACTTACTTATGGAAAACTATAGCTTCTAATATTCTATATTATTTCAGTCTAGGGAATCTGAAAACTATAATATGGCAACAGTTATAAATATCTATATGTATATACGCAAATTTTACGTCAGTACGCTGTGGGGCGTACTGTACAATTTTTGAAGCATTTGTCTATAGTCAATTTCTTGAACAACTTAATTTGACTTGGGTAACAAATATCTTATAAATTATTCTAACGCCTGTAAGTATAGTATAGTTGCTTTGTTTATAATTATATTGTACATATTAATAGCATATTAAATAGATGTTCAAATAATCAATATTTTACACACATCCTCCATGTTGTCCAATAATGTTCCAGTTTATTTTGTTAAATTGTAATTAGATATAGTTATTACTTCTCAAAAAATTTATTCACAGATATTACTTTTCTACGATGTACATATTATACTATGTACTTAATAGAATAAAAAATATGAATGCATTTTTTATACATCGAATTTTGTTTAAAGTTTCGGTAAAGAGGCCATTTTAGAATGTACATTCCTTACTCTGCATTATATTTTTTTTTTAATTATATCATATTTTATCATCTTACAAGTAATGATATTTAAATTGTCAGAGAATATTGTAACTGTACATTAACAAAACTAAAGAAATTAATGATTTTCTGATTAGATATCAATATTATAAAATAAAAAAATCAATTTATTGTTATATATTAATAATGTAAATTTCACAAGTTTTTTTCTATAGTTTTCTAGATCTACAAACATGCAGATCTTTGTTAAGACATTAACAGGAAAAACCATCACTTTAGAGGTTGAAGCTTCTGACACAATAGAAAATGTAAAAGCTAAAATCCAAGACAAAGAAGGAATCCCACCTGATCAGCAACGTTTGATCTTCGCTGGCAAACAGTTAGAAGATGGAAGAACCCTTTCAGATTATAACATCCAAAAGGAGTCAACTCTCCACTTGGTATTGAGACTCAGGGGAGGAATGCAAATCTTTGTGAAAACACTGACAGGGAAAACCATCACCTTGGAAGTAGAAGCTTCTGACACAATAGAGAATGTGAAAGCTAAGATACAAGATAAGGAAGGAATCCCTCCTGATCAGCAGCGTTTGATCTTTGCTGGCAAACAGCTAGAAGATGGAAGAACACTTTTGGATTACAATATCCAGAAGGAATCCACTCTCCACCTGGTGTTAAGACTTCGTGGAGGTATAGATGTTTATTTCCCAAAACTAGATAATGCACATAAAGATTGGTTATTCAAAAAGCATTTTGAAGATGCTGGCAGCCTTCTGAAACGTAAGGAATACTTGTGTTACAGTTAGTAATTTGATATGTGATTGTGTCTTTAAACTGCCTTGACAGTAAAATCTGTCGGCAATGTCTAGTAAAATTGATAGTATTGATAATTCCATTATATTACTTTTTTATGTACGTTTTGTAATCAGTATTTCTGGCTATTAGTATATAAGTGTTTAGCTATTCATATATAATGTCAAGAATGGCAAGTTGTATTAATCCAGTTGTATAACTACACATTCTTGTAACGCAATTATGTTCATTCAACAAGTACTAATAAACTCCTTGCAGAGAGATTTCATTGTATTTAATCATTATTTATTAGTAAGTAATGTATGAATTTGTTGTCACAACCATTACAGCATAATTATATACTTTTTAATCTGTGAAGATTTATTAAAAAAAGCAGCAGCATAATTCTCTAGACATGATTTTCAGGGTAACATTTTTCTTTATCACACTGTATTTTAATCATCATAAGAAGAAAATATTTGCAAGGAACCATGGAATAAAAATGAATCATATTTTCAAAAAAATAATCATAAATAATTTAATTCATTTTACGACACATGCACCGTGTCGTATGACCACATGAAATAATTCTTATAATAGCTTTATTACCAGAAGGCAATCATTAGAGAAAAAAATAATAATAATAATAATTTGTTGCTAATTAGTTCCCTATTAATAATTATTTGATGGCGTGCGTGATTTGATAACATCGACGAGCACAATTGTTCGTGAAACTATTTAATACTAAACGAAACTTAAAGTAAAATGTGAACAAAAATAATATATGAACATACAAATTCTCATATCACTTTTATTCATATTTTACTTTTAGTTTTGTTAAGCACTAAATATTTCAACGAGCAATCACGCGGATCCTTGTTACGAAATCACGTACGTCGTCAAATAATTATTAATAACAAATTAACTAGCACCAAATTATGTACAAACATTGTATAAGAATGTTGCCTATAATTCCAGCTTTGCTGTGCAGCTATAAATGTTCATGAATTAATTAGAAAAACTTGGAATTTTATTAATTTTCTCCTGTCGTATTGATTTCTAATATCTAGTTCGAATACAAATTTTACCGCCTGCGATCAGCGCCACCTATGACTTTGGAATAGTTTCGCAAACAGTTTACTAACTCTGGTTATGTGCTCCGAATATATTTTAATATATTTTAATAAATCAAATCATAAAGATTTCTGCATTCTTTATTAAATTCAGCCGAAACAGCGGTTTTAATTAGACGAACAGCATTCATTTCTTTACCTGGCAAACGACAAATATGCAAAGGTACGCCTTTACAGCGCAATAATAAAGTTTCATAAATTAACCACAGAAATTGAGCAATTTGTTAATTTTCCTCCAAGTGAACAGGAGAGTGCATGGAAAATGAGAAGAAATTGCAAACAAACGTCGGAAGGATTGTTTTGTCCATGCAGGTGTGCCTGCATCACGAAAAGATTCACGATAAGTATTTGTATTAACATAACCTTAACATAACATAACATAATTCAGTTGTAAACACATGGTGTAAGATATAAAGCATTGCTTTTCCATCTTTCATTAGTGATAGCAAAGCCCAGTTGTTAGGAGACAATATTCTATTGAAGTAAACAGGCACGTGCAACAATAGAAAAATATTGGATTCATGGAATATCATCAGCGTAGATGCCAAGAATTATACTTTATAGCAAGAAAAAATTGAAGCAGCAATACAAATATGTAAAGTATATGTCTATTGGATTGTAGATTGATTAACTATATGTCATACAAGATAAAAATCTTTGAGGGTCAAATAAAAATTCAGAAAATGGAGATGGTTTAGGCAGACAAAAAGGAATACAATTAATTTAGGTGATGGCCTCTTCTAGCAACA